CCAAAACCCTAACTGAGGTAGCTAGGTTGCTAAGAGAAACATATTATTTCTACCATATTCCAGACTCATGAATAAAAATTCACGCTAACCCAACAGAAGTCAATGAGCCTACAAATAATTTGATAGAAAAACCTATAATACTAGATGAAATAGACAAAATCCTTACCTATCTAAAAAATAATAACATTGATACAATCTAGCTAACTCTCCCTATCACAACTCAGAAATCTGCTTCAGAAACTCTCAGCATTCTACATCAGTATTTTATAATCAAAACCATACCCAGCAACATCTTAGATCTTCCACCTCTCCTAGAGCCCACCTGAAGAATATTCTCTCAACAACAATGATTCAGTCCAACAACCAGGAAGTCAAACCCAAACTATCAACATCACAATCAAATATAATTACAATCCAAACAACAGACATTAGTATTACTAAACATGAATATGACAATGCACCACCCATACAAGACAGAATTTCAATAGCCACACACAATGTCCAAAGCCTTAACACCAAGCTAAAAACTCAACTATGGCTTGAGTTCTATAATGAACAACAATATCATATAATAAGTATAACCGAAATAAAACTAGCAGAATCTACATATAATAGCCTACACACAAACAATCTCTATTATTACATCTATACAGCAAACTGCGATATAACAACAGCAAAGATACAAGAAGCAAGTATGGGCACAGCAATAGCAATCACTAAACCACTTAAACCTTATATACATAATATCACTACATGTCCTGGTACTGCTATCGCAATTGACCTATTCTTTCCAAATCAAAATAAAACCCGTATCATTTCAGTATATCTACCATCAAATAACAAAGACCTCAACACACTCACACAACAAACTATCATACTCTGAATAAAACAAGCTGCTAGAAGTAATTACCACACAATAGTCCTAGATAACTTCAACTATGACCGTAGCAAGCACAACAAAACAACTCCTATCTTTCAAACAATGCAAAGCAATGGATTAACTAGCTCTCTGAAGTATTTCAATATCACTACACCCACATGGAACAGACAACAAATGCAAAGCCAAATTGATGACATATAGCTACTGAATCACTTAATACATATGTTTACACCTCCTATACTTTTATCGACAGACCTAATTACTTACAGTGATCACAAAATAATCTATACCAAGTGGAAATACAACCCAAGAATCAAAATCAACAGAACAAAGAAAAGAAAACGAACAATATATCAATACAACCAAATAATTAAAGATTCATAGACGGAATTTACCCAAACAGCCAAAAAGCTTGTCCTTCAGAGCAGAATTATGGATAAAAAAATAACTAACCTCCAAACCCTCAACAAACACTGGTATGAATTTTATACAGCAGTTAAACAATCGGCAGCAAAACATATACCCACTACAACAACATCACTCAAAACCTTTCATGCATTTTCTACAAAGGCTACAGTATTACACCACACTCTCAAAAAAATAAACAAACTAATCAGAAACCTCAATAACAATCAAAACACAGCTTATAACACTCAGATAATTAACTCAGAAATTCAAACAATAAACAAACATAGCGAAATACCAAT